ACAAACTCAACATGTTACAATAATCTCCAGACACCTTTTCCAAATCATTTCCAGCCTGAAATAACCCCCTTGAATAAACCTCGCAAGCTTCCAAATCGAAGGCAATATCAGGCATACAAAGCACATCTTAGACAGACATTATAAACCTCCAAGAGAATAGTCAACTGACTGCCAATCCCCACCAAGTGGGCATCTTGTTAATTCCCTCTCAGACAATGATGGCCATTTGACAGAAGTGACAACCCCAACCACTCCTATAGAAGGGTACATTGTTACCCTAATTACAAAAGGACTAGGTGAAGAAGATTCGAGCCCACTCCCTTTTCCTAGTAGGGACATAGTCATCCCATCCCCCCCTGTACCTCATTAAGACCACTTAGAGATGATAAGAGGGCCACCCTCACAGTACATTACTAAAAACACAACTAAGTGGGATGAAGAGCTGATTCACATAATAGACCCAAATCTAGGGATAGAAAAGTTTGATGCACCCTTCTCTTAAGTGTGACCCTCACATCACCTTATTTATGATCCACCTAAGTGGGATCTAGAATTCCATGCCCTATGAGACAATAAAAGTAAGAGCAGGAGCAGATCATCACTAACTGAAATCCCCCATCTCCAAGGTAGTCCACCCAATAAGGTCAGGATTTCCACTTCCACAAACAAGGGCAATCAATGAGGCTGAGGCATCATGCCACGACCCCCAACACACTGGTTAGTACTTGAGCCTCACCAATCTCATTCTCCTTCTTCAAGGGTTCTATCAAGACCCAAATGCCGAGGAGTAACCCACTATAGAGGTAAATCTCAGAACTACCATTAGAGGTCCCTAACCAAAAAGGACCATCTAATGTAGACAATAAAAGTGAATTCACTAGCATTTTGTGGATTGTATTTTCCTTTTTGTGGATTGTGTTTTCCTTTTTAGTTTTTTAGGTAAGATGGTAGTATTTTCGGTATTTTTCTGTAAGCGACTTTTTTGGAATTTCTAAAAATCAGGGGTTTCCATTGTTTGGGAATGGGGAAAATTAGGAGGGAAATGTTAGAATATGAATTTAAATTCGCTTAGGAAAAGGCATTGTACTTGGCTTAGAAAAAGGTATTGTGCATGGCCTAGGAAGGGGTATTGTTCATTAATACCCATAGGAAAGCTAAGAGAACTTTGGCTTTGGAGCCAAGTCAAGTTGATAAAAAGAGGAAGACTTTTACCTTATTGGGAGATTTCCCTTTTTCTATAAATTTAATAAATCAAGAACATAATTCTCGTTTTGGATGGTCCTTGGACCCTCATAAAAGTTATTGAAGCTAGCTTCGTTAGCTTCAGCCCCTTGTTAAATCCAAGCTGAAATCCCAAGTGTCTACACTATTATGAACGATTTCACTCTCCTCTCTATTCTACATCAGGTGGTATCAGAGCAAAAATTCCTACTTTTGGACCTAGAGTTATGACCAATAGAGGAGGCCATAGAGGCCACAGACGAGGTACTATGCTAAGGGCAGAATATGAAGAATTGTTGAGGAGGCTAAATGGAATGGGACAATTAGTGGTTCATCTTGCCTAATTTGAATAAGAATCAGTTAAGAAAGTAAGGAATCAAGTTTAAGAAATAATAAATCCTTCCCATAACTGAAGGAGGGATAACCTCTCATTGGAAGATAGGTTAGTTTGTGCCCTAGTGAGGTCGGATATGAGAGTGGACATTTCTGAACTTTTGGGAAAAGTTTAGCCCAAATAAGTTCTTGGAATGGCTAGATAGGGTGGAGACTCTTCAAAAGGAAAGATTACCCACAAGAAAAGAAAGTCAAATTTGAGGTGACCCGACTCAGATATAGTGGCAGCAAGTGCAGGCCGGTTGAGTACAGAAGAGAAAAGAAAATATAACACAGGAAAATGAAATCGTGTCTTAAGGAGAAATTCGTAGCAATAGGTCATTTGTACTAATTGTACCACTAATTCCAGCATTTGTGGAAAAGGAGGGCATCCAGTAATGTACAGACAAATTTTTCCTCATGAGATGGAATGAAAGTGATGACAAAAAACGAACTAGCTATATAGTGGATTTTTAGTCTTGACAAAGTTTATCTAATGGCCTTGAAAGATGTATCCAAATTGAAAAATAGGCGCTCTAGTGGCTAGAAATCAATCCCAATTCAAATGAGATACATGGCAAATAAAAAGCCACAAGCAGTCGAGTCCAACTCACATACAAATAAGGCATCTAAAGGCCAAGATCAAGCTACCAATAGGCCCTTCCAAACCCTATAATAGGGTGTGCAATGCTACAAATGTGGTGAGGTGAGCCACTAGATGTATGGCAATCTTTTCAATTGCTTAATGAAATTCTAATATGATTTGAATACTCAAATGATATTTTCCTTAAATTCTATATTAAGTTTTCCCATCATATCACATCTATGTAAAACGGTTTACTCATGCATGCCACTGAGGACAAGCTGCCATATTCAAGAAGGCTCTAAGCATTATGGGATCATAGAAGCTCTAATAAGGGAGAGAGGCATTTTCACCAACGTTTCATTTGGCAGTACAAGGAATTTCCCCGATCAACTCTAGCTTTTTTAGAAATCCATCAATTCTTCAGAAAGAAATAAAACATTAGCACTAAAATCTTAGCACTTACATATTTCATAATCAGATATGTACTACACCACAAAAAGTGCAGCCAATCATACAAAATATCAACAAATGAAACCTTCTGTCAATGATACATTATTCACAAATAATAACTGAAAAATGAAAGGATAAGAAAGAGGACTTGGTTCAGTTGATAAATCGATTCAAAACAGTTAACTGTCCAGAATCTCCATTCAATAGAAAAACTTCAAGAGGGGTATAAGATGAGGGGCTCGCCAGTGAAGATTCTAATTTGGAGGTAGGTTGCAGAATCATGCTTCCCTTAGCACATGGAAGTGTAAGAAGCCTTGGGCCCATGCGCATCTTCCAAACCTACAAAAGTTCCAACTTAAGCAGGACATCAAAACAGAAGAACTAAAATCAGTTTCTTTGCTAGTTAGCACTACATTGATTAGCAATACTCTTTCAAGTATCACAATTGCAATCCTCTCTCCTACATATACCAATCCAACTACTTAGGCAGCCAAAGAAGTTTGTATCTCAAACTCAAAGTGTGTGCATGCAATCTTTCATGATCTGCATGGTATTTCTTCATGGGTAAGGGGTCTTCTCAGTACTCATGTCAACTTTGTACTAAATTGCTGAACCAAGCCAATCACATAACCATCAGAATCTATTAAACATGAAGAGAACAAACAAATACTAATTCTTCAACATATTTTTCCTAACAGGTGCCTTTGATTACATTTGTAGTGGAAGAATCACATTATTATTGAATTGAGTTGCAAGGGGTAATTCACATTTTTTTAGAACCCCACTCTATCATTTGAAAGAGGGAACAATGCACAGCTATATCTTAAGAGAAAAGATATCAGGGTGAACATAAGATCGAAACCCATGTGATCTCCTTTGGAAGAACTAAGATGCTGATTGTGTTATATATCGGTTGGCTTAAGCCCCGAGTGTATCATTTATCATGGCTGGAATGTTTTCATATCAAACTCTGATTGAAAAAAAGGCCACTATGATACTATTTATGATAAAGAATGCCGAGTCCTTACTTCAGAAGAACAAAATCTCACAAGTTGCAAGAGAGTGAATCTCATCTAACCTACCAAAAGTGGAACTGGTTGATGCACAACAAAGAAAGATTCGTTCAACAAATCTACAACAGCTGACATTCTCGAAATAAGTTGGAAACATTAAATTTTGGTCCAGCATGGTGAAATGTTATAGAATTGAAGGATAGAACTGTTGGTGTATTCCAAGGAATAGCCAGGACACCGTGTATGAGCATATCTGAATTAAGGGTCCCGCACAATAGCTCCATAAACTGATATCAAGCCAACAGTGGAAGGATGGATGTTGTCTTTAATAACTAGCCAAGGGCTGGGGAAAGGACCGATTGTCGTCGTGTCTTTAAATATAGAAAGCAATCACCTATTGGCAAGGGGAGGATGTTTTTCGACCTTAACAATAAGGTGCATTCTAACGGAGGCCTTGGGTAAGCTCGCCCTCTGGACATCTACACGCAAGCTCTTGGCGAAGGATCTATAAAAAGCACACTTGTTTTCCTTGCATAAAATAAATTATTTGACTTGGTTTCACGAGCAAATACAATGTGTTTGGACCGGCAGCCACCTTAGGACCCACAATCGATAGAGAGATTCTTTGTGAGGACCAATTCAGTCACCAACTTACTTCAGTGAGAGCCACTTCAATCGCCAACTTACTTCAGTGGGAGCCACTTCAATCGCCAAGTTACTAAAGTGAGAACCACTTTGGTCACCTACCACTTTAGAAGAACCGCTTTGGTCATTTGCCTAACTCAGTCATGTATGCCAAGGATCAAAGGGTCTTGGTGAAGCATGACGAGGTCAACAAAATGTGGAGAGTTTATTTTAAAAAATTATTAAATAAATGACGAACAAAATGCGAATATAGCGATAGAAGGAACCGTTGGCATAAATGAGAGTGGAGGTTATAGATACATCCATAGGATTAGGATATCAGATGCAAGGGTTCAAAAAACGCTAGGTGGCCCCTAGGCGGCCTTTCTGGCACCCAACACCTAGGCGAGCGCCCTGTAGTACAATTCTTAGCATATTTTTATATATTTGCTATCCAAATGGACAGATATTCATATACTTGTGTCAATTTTGTAATTTATTCCATTTGAAAATATCGCAAGTTCGCAACATACGTTTTTATATACAAACATATCACATATCTCAGGTTGAGATGAGAATAAACTTGTTCAAAATTTCAAACCATATAAAACATTTTAAAGTCTAATAAGCTATTGTAAGGTCTCCATCTCTCATATTCTCCAAATTCCATATCCATAAAACCATAATAACATCATAGTCTCCAACTCTCCAAGTCTTCAACAAATTGACTTCCAAAACTATAAAAATCCACACAACAAAATAGTCCAAAAAGGCAAAAAATATAAACCACATAAAAAAATAGTCCAAATGTCGAAAGCCCAAACCAAGATGCTGCAATAAAGTTATTACAAAAGAAGAGAGAAGACATCAATATGAATCAGAATCATCATCTTCATTGCTTGCATCTGCATCAAAATCGAGGCCGTCATCATCAGAATCATCACCCTCTTCAACATATTCCTCTTCTTCCAAAGATTCTTCTGAATCTGCCTCCTCTTCCCCTATCTCCCTCTGTGAATGTGAAGTACCAATAGAAGTCGTTGCTCAAGTGGCCCTCCTAGGATCAGAAGCTTGCCCCGAAGCCTCCTCGACCATTTCCCATGTCAAACCCTCCCCAAGCAAGACCTCCTCAGTACCAGGATCACCAACTAGCCAATCTGAAGCATTGTCCATGTCTTTCAAAGAGATGGGATCCTTCTTTGGCTGGTTTTTCTTCTCCTTGAGCCTTTGATTCTCTCTAACAAAAATCAAGTCATTGAACTTCTTTTGCTCAAGCCTATTTCTTATCTTTGTATGCACCTATAAGGAAACATGCATATAACAACTCCTTTCAGTAAAATGTTGTAGCCTTGTAGACGAGCTTTTACTCTCACACCTATAAGGAAAATGCATACAACAAGTCATAGTAGACTCATAGCCTACTATGAGTCTATGATTTTCTTACCTTATATGAATCTATATTACAAAAATGAACTTGTAAACAAGAAAAGCATATAAAATTGTAAAATAGTAAGATATCATCTCAAACGAACTCCAATTGCGCTCACAACCAGAAGAGGTAGTTGTCAAACTCAAGATTCGTATAGCCATCTTCAGGAGGTTTGGAACGCTACTCCCATGATGTCTCCACCATTGAGCTGCAATATGTGGGCAACTTTTTATAATTAATTTTGGTATTTAACGTTATCACACATAAATTTAGGAACTAAAAACTAAAAAGAAAATTATAATTTATAAAACCTAAGTAAAAAGTATATTACCTAGTTCGTCTTTGTTTCTCTGTCTTAATGACATATCTTTCCCAAATGACATCAAAGAACACTTGTATGAAATAAGTTCTTATCTTGGATATATGGAACGGGAACTAATTTCTCAAGACACTCAATAAAACCTTCTATAATTATCCCTTTTGACTCAATATGCGTATCTACATAAAATAATTTGGGGTTCAAATAGTACCCTGCCGCATGCAATAGTCTATGGAGATGCCTATCCCATTTGTCATCAATAATCCCCCAACTTGGGTTCGTACTTGGCTGCATCATTGCCCAAATTCTTTGCATTCTCATTCTTAGCCCTTTCCATTGCCTCATATATAAAGCCCATGGAGGGCTTATCAACATCAACCAAGCGCAAGACCTTCACCAAGGGAAGAAATACTAATATCACATGCTTCACCCCACACCAAAAATATTTCGAAAGAACAATATCCCGTGCCTTCTTTCCCTTGGCATCTCTAGACCACTTACATCTACTCCACACCTCTGAAGCAAACACAGACCTTAATGCGATCCTCCCCCTATACATGCTCTGTAGACTAAGGTAGGCAATGGCAAATCTAGTGACCCCAAGCCTCACTAGCTCTCTCTTCTTTATAAACTTGCGCAACATGCTAAGGGTAAGTATATGACTGTGTATGAAGATTGTAACCTCCTTAGCTTTAAAAAGAACTCCTTTAATAATAGGCAAATCTCTAATGGCCTCAATCATAAGATCTATGCAATGTGCAGCGCAAGGAGTTCAAAATATACGAGGTCTCTTTTGTCGAAGCAAATGACCTGTAGCTAGATTGGGAGTAGCATTATCTGTGACCGCTTGAATTACAAGTTTCTCCCCAACCTCCTCAATGCCCTTATCAATGAAAGAAAATACATAATGAGCAACATGCATATCATTGCAAGCATAAATTGGTCACAAAAAAAATGTACCCGAGGGACAATTTACCAACAAATTCATGTTACTCCTCCTCCTATCACTCCACATATCTGTCATTAAAGAAATCCCAAATTTAGCCCACCCCCCCTTACGGGTCTTGAGATATTCGTTAGTATACTAAACTTCTTTCTTCAGTAGTGGCCCTCCAATCTCATATGGAGTTGGACCTTTCAAATCTAGCCCAATTGCTTCCAACATTGTATGGAAGCTATTAAAAGAAATGCCCGCATGGTAAAATCACTGAACAATAAACTGAATCAGTCTGCCTTTATCTTCTTTTTTAAATCTATTTTCAATTGTCACTTGTTTTTTCCCATTTCTTCCTTGGCCTTTCTTAATTATTGTCTCAGGGCTAGGTGTAAAAAAACTATCTATAAGCCCTCTCATATGAGGCGTCTTAGACCCAAAATCCCTCTTGCTCTCAGAGCTCTGAGTACCAATCATGGCTACCTCTTCTTCCCCCTCTTCATCCTCTTCTTCAGTGGCAATATTATCATAAAAAACATGGAGCCTTCACTTTAATTATGTTATATCCTTTTGTTTTGAAACTTTTTTACTTTTTTCACCTTCAATGTATTTAGAAATTTCTTTCTTTACAAGCTCTGAGACTTTCTTACATGGGGCAACACCACCTCTAATACCCACAAGATGTTTCTTAAATCTATTTATGCCGCCATTAGAAACATGTCCACAGAAATTGCACATAATTTTATTCATATCATTCTTATATGAGTTAACACAATATTTCCATCTCAGATTGCCACCCCTAGCAGACACCGTAGAAAATATCTCAAATTGGAAAAGTAAAACTCAAATAAATATTACAAACTGACCTTTTCTGCCTAATCTATGTTCTTCGATGTTGGTTACCTCAATTGAGTTACTAATTAACTCAAAGTCTTCTAATGCCACCAATAGCACCCTAAAATAATTTCAATGAGAAAAGAAAATTTTTTCAATCCAAAAAAAATACTTTCGATTCTCAGAAATTACTTTAGATTCTCATAAATAAGTTTAGCATAGAGATTGAGGTTTTTTTTTTTCACTTTGAGGGTTACAAATAAACCCCATAATGTTTTTATACAACCTTGGGGGTCAAAATGACCCTTTTTGTCCTTTTGGGGGATTTAAAAAAACAAAAAAGGGCCTACGGCCCTAGGCACCCGCCCAAAACTGGGCGCTGGGCACAGCGCCCGCCCAGGTAATCCGCACATGTAGAGCTGCCTGGGTCTGGGCGTGCGGTTTTTTAGTCCAGGCCGCCTAGGCGGGCTAGAAGTGCGGTTTTTTGGTCCAGACCGCCTAAGCGGGCTGTGCGTGCGGTTTTTTGGTCCAGGCCGCCTAGGCACTGGGCAAACCATTTTTTAAAACATTGATCAAATGTGAAAGAAGCTTTGAAGATGATCAAGAGAGGAAAGGCTTTAGGACAAGATGGTATTCCGATAAGAGATTTGAAAGTGCATGGGAGAAATTAGCAATGACTACCTGACCAAAGTGTTCAACAAAGTATTGGCAACAAAGAAAATGCCAGACAAATAGAGAAAAAGTATTGTGGTACCTATTTACAAAAACAAAAGAGACTTACAGAATTGTGCGAACTATCGAGGTATCAAACTTATGAGCCACATCACGAAGCTGTGGGAGAGAGTGAGTGAGCAACGACTAAGGCATGAAACAAATGTATCAGAAAACCAATTCAGTTTTATGTCAAGGATCAAAGGGTCTTGGTGAAGGACGAAGAGGTCAACAAAATGTGGAGAGTTTATTTTCAAAAATTACTAAATGAAGAACCCAATGAGAATATAGCGATAGAATGAACTATTAGCATAAATGAGGGCGGAGGTCATAGATACAGTCGTAGGATTAGGATATCAGAAGTGAAAGACGCTTTGAAGATGATGAAGATAAGAAAGGCTTTACAACCAGATGGTATTCCGATAGAGGTTTGAAAGTACATGTGGGAAAATGGCATTGACTGGCTAACCAAACTACTCAACAAGGTATTGACAACAAAGAAAATGCCAGACGAATGGAAGAAAAGTATTGTGGTACCTATTTACAAAAACAAATGAGACATTGTGTGTACTATCGAAGGATTAAACTTATGACCCACAAAATGGAGTTGTGGGAGAGAGTGATTGAGCAACGAGTAAGGCATGAAACAAGTGTATCAAAAAACCAATTTGGTTTTATGCCAAGGAGGTCAACAATTAAGGCTATTTTCCTACTTTGGCAATTGATTGAGAAGTTTCGGGAGAAGAAAAAGACTTCCACATGATCTTTGTTGATTTAGAGAGAGCTTATGATAAAGTACTTAGAAATTAGATTTGGTGGGTGTTGGAAAATAAATGACTCTCCAGACACCACATCGACTTGGTGAGAGATTTGTACGAGGGAACGCTAACCAGTGTATGAACAACTATTGGATAAACGAGTGAGTTTTTACTAACAATAGGTCTACATCAGAGGTCAGCATTGAGCCCATAAGTATTTGACTTAGTTATGGATGACTTAACTATGCACCTACAAGATGAGGCATTGTGATGCGTGTTGTTCGCGGATGACATAGTTTTAACAGATGAGACCCGAAATGGCGTCAACACAAAGAACTTTGGAGGGATGTTCTAGAATATAAAACTTTTAAAATTAGCCAGACTACGATAAGAGTATATGGAGTGCAAGTTTAGTAATAATACGAATAGAGATGAAGAAGTAGTTAAGATTGACGGCCTAGAAATATCAAAAAGAGCGCATTTTTGATATCTTGGATCGATAATTCAGGAAAATAGGGAGTTTGAGTAAGATGTTACAAATAGAATTAGAGCTGGGTGGGCAAAGTAGAGATGTACAACCAAAGTTATATGTGAGAAGCTGAAGGGTAAGTTCTATACAACAGCTGTGAGAACAGATTTGCTTTATGGGCCAAAATGTTGGGCGGTCAACAAACAGCATACTCAAAAAATTGATATGGCTAAGACACGGATATTGAGACAGATAAGTGGCAACACAAGAAGGGATAGAATTCAAAAATGATGGTAGAATTTAGGTGTGGCACCAATAGGCGATAGAATGAGAGATAGTCAATGTTTTAAAAAACGGTCCGCCTGGCGCCTAAGCGCCCGCCGAGGAGGCCTGAACAAAAAAAACCGCACGCCTCGACCCTGGCGGCCCTACATGGGCAGTTGTACCTGGGTAGGCGCCCAGTTCTAGGCGAGCACCCAAGGCCGTAAGGTGTTTTCCGATTTATAAATTCACACAAAAGGGCAAAGGGGGTCATTTTGAACCCCAAGTTTGTATAAAAACATTATGGGGTTTATTTTTGAACCCCCAAAGTGAAAAAAAAAAAAACCCTCAATCTCTAAACTTATTTATGAGAATCTAAAGGAATTTCTGATAATCGAAAGTATTTTTTGTGAATTGAAAAAGTTTTTTTTTCTCATTGAAATTATTTTTAGGGTGTTATTGGTAGCATTAGAAGACTTTTGAGTTGATTCGTGGCTCGATTGAAGTACCAACTTCGAAGATCAAAGATGGTGCAAAAAATGTCAGTCTGTAATCTTTATTTGAGTTTTATTTTTCCAATTTGA